GACGTATAATGCTGATGGTACAGTTGAAAGCTATAAAGCAAGATTGGTGGCGAAAGGTTACACTCAAACCTATGGGATCGATTACACGAGACATTTGCATCGGTAGCCAAAATCAACACAATTCGAGTCTTGTTATATTTAGCTGCAAACTTGGATTCGCCATTACAACAATACGATGTAAAAAATGCCTTCTTGCATGGTGAATTGTCTGAAGAAGTCTACATGGATCTTCTACCTGGGTGTATGATACCAGAAAGGTCAAGTCAAAAAGTATGCGAGTTAAAAAAAATCATTGTATGGACTGAAACAATCTCCAAGAGCATGGTTTGAAAGGTCCACTAAGTCTATGAGAGCCTTTAGCTATCATCAGAGCAACTAAGACCATACTTTATTCTTAAAGAAACGACGGGATAAGATTACTGCACTCATTGTATATGTGGATGACATGGTGGTTACGGGAAATGATTCTGAAGAGAGGAAAGCTCTACAAAACTACTTATCCAGAGAATTCGAAATGAAAGATTTAGGTCAATTGAAATATTTTCTTGGCATAGACGTTTCTCGTTCTAATCAAAGAATTTTTTAGCTCAAAGAAAATATGCATTAGATTGCAAGAAGCTGGTATGTCAACATGTCAACCAGTAGATACACTAGTAGAAAAAGGATTGAAGTTGTTTGCAAAGTCCAACCAAATACTGGTTGATAAAGGAAGATACCAAAGACTTGTAGGAAGATTGATGTCCCTAGCACACACAAGACTAGATTTGGCCTTTGCATTGAGTATCGTCGGTCAATTTATGCACAATCCTGGAGAACAACATATGGATGCAGTAATGCGAATTTTAAGGCACCTGAAAGCTAGTCCTGGAAAAGGAATTTTGTTTACTAAAAATGGAGAATTTCAAAGCATAGCTGTATACACTGATGCTGATTGGGCTGGGGCCATAGATGATAGGCGATCTACTTCTGGTTACTTTACTTTCGTAGGTGGTAACCTAGTTATATGGAGAAGCAAGAAACAGAATGTTGTTGTTTGTTCAAGTGCAAAAGCTGAATTCGGAGGTATAACTCTTGGACTCTATGAAGCTTTGTGGTAAAACTTCTCTTGCAAGATTTGGGTTATCAATCTAGACAACTGGTTCGAATATATTGTGACAATAAAGCAGTGTGTGATATTGCTCATAACCCAGTTCAACATGATCGCATGAAGCACATCGAGGTGGGCCGATTCTTCATTAAAGAAAAATTGGATGAGAAAATTGTTGAATTTCCTAAGGTTCGATTTGAAGACCAATTGGCTGACATTCTTACCAAAGCAACCTCAAATCGAGTGTTCTCAAAGTTCTTAGACAAGTTGGGCATGTGTGACATCTATGCACCAACTTGAGGGGGAGTGTTGAGATTCTTTGCTTAAAATTAGTGATTGTATAGTAGTAAGAATCCCTAAAGTCAAGGATAATTAGTAGGCTGATTTTGTGTATAATTAGTTTCCTTTATTACTTGTTTTTTGTGTTATAAATTGTAATCTCTGACTTTGTATTCAATGGAATAATTGAAATACCATTTTCAAGATTTTGTAATTTAGTTTATTTTCTTTTGTACTTAGAAATATATAGTGGTAAGTTGTATGAATAACAACTTCTGCAAAATAGATAAGTTGTATATCCAATCAACTTAAAAAATTATCTTTGCCAAACATGCACTTAGATAAACTCTGAAAAAGCTGAAGTGAACTAGGCGTATCAATACATATATTTTGTTGTGCGCATTTATAATTTTTTTGTTCACTTTTCTTGTAATTTTTTAAGCATTGCCACTTCGATCTTGATTTTTCATATAATGAGTTGCCAGTTGAATTCTTTGTGTGCTGTAAACAGGTATCAGAATGGCTAAGATAGTGAACTTCTTCAAGCACTACAATCCTACAACCAGTGCTCAAAGATTGGTATTCATATATCTGTGTTTCTTTTTTTCTTTTTTTCTGTTAAATAAAGAATTTTGTTTTACGGTACTGGTTTTCCTTAATAAAATTCTATTTTGTCGTTTTATCTTGTTTTTACCACAAGGATTTATTATACTTTGCATTTCCTTGCATATGTTGTTGTGGCCAAGTATAGTAAAAATATAGGTGATGGGTTTATTTTGTACCTTCGTATCATGTGAATGATGAATAGAAGTCGTTAGAAAGTAAATAACTTTATGCCACAAAGATTTTTTTTCCAAGAATTATGCATATGTGCATTATATGCCTTGAAGACAGCATCAAAATCTACAGGACTAAAGCAAGCTTGTGACATGAATTACATGATACAGCTAAAAATATTATAAAATTAACAGAAAATGATATGGACTTGCTCCCAAACCGAGTTTTTATAAACCTACTCTGGTGCTAGATTCCCCCCCCCCCCATTTTATGCTTTTAGAGTATGGCTATGTAAAGATCTAAACTAGCTTCTTGATAGTTAATGTAAATATGCATTAAACTAGAAATGACTCTTCAATGTTTAAAGAGTTTTGCCATACTTTAATTACATTTAACTTACTATTTGTAGGAATTTCCAAGGGTTTCTATTTTTCAATTACAAGGAGCTCTACCAGAGAGGGCATTCCTTCGAGATTGTTATACAAATCTGTGGCATATAAAAATGGCCAAAATTGATAGACGGTTTTTTTATGGCTAGGAAAAATTTGTTCAAAATAACTCTTTGGAATCTCAGGACGTCCTTGTGTTCTGATAAAATGTGTACAATTTATTTGATGTAAAACTATTGGAGTTGTGAAATTGCAATAAGGAGGGTCTTGGACATTTCAATATGAACATTGAGGATAAGAATAAAGAAGATGGTGAAGCAGAAGTGAAGCAATTATTTCTGCCAAATTTTCCCATTACTTCTATTAGGTAATTCATTATTTTGACAAATTTCTTACTTATGGTATTGGTGTTGGAATAATTAATAATGGGAAATTTTCATATACAAGAGATTAAGTATATGGCATTTCAAAAATAAGAAAATAAGTATCATATTTCACCAATCAGATATTAGCCTAAAAATGAATACAAATATTAATTTAATTAAAAATGGAAAACAATCCCAAACAATTAGCCCGAGATACCGTACTAGCAGGATTCTCCATAAAAAGGAGAAATCATCTCTCAAGCTGATTCCAATAGCTAGAAGATCTAAAAATACATCTAAATTACCGTCGGCTCTCGCGGAAGTGACGGTAAAAACGAATTCTGGTCACAAATTGCAGTCGCTGGGTCGTATTACGTCGGATTAAAACACAGTCCCTTGAACAGTCACTGATTACATTCATTAGGTGTGTAAATACGATTTATTCATTACAATTTGTCATTTATTCATGCTAGATAAGCTTCGATTGATGAAAAATGTGATTTTTGACGAAACTGTGATCATGAATATCGTACATTGCTATTCGAGATTGTTGTGACCGTTATGAAAAACACGTGATCGGCTATTCATAAGATGTGACCTCATGCAGTCAGTACGCATGGGTGTTTGTGTCTCGGAATGTGTGATGTGTGACATACTGCATCTGTGTTATGTGATATTAATGCTTTTGTTTGAATCTAATCATATGCGACAGATCTACACTTAGTTACCGTGACTGATTATTGCATATAATTGTGATTTAATATGCACATGTGACCTGCATGTATTCAATATGTGACCATGACATTCAAGATACGACATGGGTTTGCTGTGACCTGTGATCATTTAACAGAATTGTGATTGACTTGCAATTAACTGTGACCAATATACAAAGACTTGTGGCCACTCTTCAATGGTATGTGACCAATATGCAATGACCTGCGACCTCTCGTAAAAAAATATGGAAAATAAAAGTATGTGACCTGCATGTATTCAATACGTGACAATAATACTTGAGATTCGACATATGTTTGTTGTGACATTTGATCATTTAACATAATTTTGACCCATATGCAATTAGATGTAATTATAATTGGATGTTTGACTGATCATGTTTATGCTCATTTTGTAAAAATGGGGTTAATTCACGTATGTCGGTTGAATGGATCACAAATGTCAGTGGTGTTAATTGATTGTAATTGCGGGTATTTGAGGCTTGTTGACACAGTTATGAAAGATTGTAGCTCCGACCCTGCAGAAATTGCAGTAACAATGAAGTATATCTTGAATAGTGATCTGCCTCCAATAACAATCAAAAGTGACGATAATGTCTTGTTTTATATGGTTTTGAAGGATATGAATCATGAACCTACCAAATATCAAATTCACATCGAGGTCACAACTGCAGATATTGAAAAACAACCTATTGCGCTATCAGTTGATGTTCAATCGAACGAACATGGATTTTTATTAACAGATATGTCATCAGATATATGTGAAGCAATAATGGATCCATCTAGTGACAAACATGAGCATGAGGTCACAATTGTGGTGGTGGCAAATGCTAAGGAGGTAGAGGAAAGAAGAGTTTTCCGTAACAAGGAGATAATGCAATTGAGCTTGTCATTTTATGCAATCCAAAATGTATTTGAGTATGTGGTTGTTCGTTCCGATGAGAAAGACTATCTCGTGAAATGTTCACGTGATGAGTATAATTGGACATGTAGAGCATTGAAGTTAGCCAGAACAGATATGTTTAAAATCAGACACATTGCAGAAGGTCACACATGTGCTTCAAATATCGTACTCAGTACTCATAGGCAAGTAACAAAGACAGTTGGGTCAACCTGTATTAAGTACAAGTACACTTCATCGCGCACCATATACACACCGAATGATATACGCAACGACATGTTGCATACATATGGATATCTTTGAATTATGTCAAATCTTGGCGATCTCGAGAGGAAACTCTAAAAGTGCTAAGGGGTGATCCAACTGATTCATTTAATAAGATACCAGCCTTTTTCCGTGCTACAACAAACAAATCCTGGATCAGTCACAAGTCTAGAAATTGATGGTCACAATAGGTTTAAATATTGCTTCATGGCACTAGGTGCATCTATACGGGAATGGAAACATTGTAGGCCAGTTGTTGTGATTGATGGCACATATTTAAATAAACACTATGGTGACACCTTATTCACAGCATATGCACAAGATGCAAATAACAGCATTTATGTACTTGCTTTAGGGATTGGGGATAACGAGAATGACAGCTCCTGGACATAGTATTTTAGACAATTGAGGAAAGCATATGGGGACAGAGACGGTTTGTGATTTGTGTCGGATCGTCACAACAGCATCAAAAAGGCGGTTGAAAACGTGTATCCAGGAACATGTCACGGGATATGTTCGTACCATCTACTACAAAATCTAAAATCACGGTACGGGAGATCAGGACAAAACATAACATAAGCATTCAATGCAGCTGTTCGTGCCTACACACTGTTGGAATATGAATATTACATGCAACAACTCGGCTCGATTAATGAGAAGATAAGGGGTGTCCTATGATGACATTCACATTCATATGTTTGACATGATACTATACACTATATGATACACATTTTCATGATTTTGTTTATAGGACAAAGTTGGACATGAGAGATGGTCACGTTTCCACATGCCTTCAAACCGGTATTCCACAATGACATCGAATATTGTGGAGTCGGTTAATGTGGTCACAAAGTCTGCCAAGAACTACCCTATTATAGTTTTGTTAGAGTCATTGAGATAAATTCTACAATCTTGGTTCTGCAGACACAATGAGGATACCCAAGGCACTTTTACAACCTTGTCAAGCAAGTATGAGAAGAAGATGAGGGAAATGAGCACAGATATGAGAAACTTGAGGGTAAAGTTAAATACTGTATCCTAATCTATAATTTGTGACTTACTTGAACTGATCTGTGACATGTGCTGTGACTTTTGCTGTGATTTGCACCGTTGTGTTTCAGTAATATTTGTGCAATATTATATATAATTATGTGACATGCAATTTCATCCGTGTCCTACTTTTTCATTATGTGACTTATTATGTCTATAACTTGAATCTATATCTGTAGGTTTCTCCTATTAATCAGGCAATGTCCTCAGTTAGCGGTGAAAGTTCCACTTTCATTGTTGATATAGAAAACCGGACATGTACATATAGGATGCTTCAAGTTGATCAACTACCTTGTCCACATGTTTTGGCTGTGTTTGCGAGTATGAAGATGGATCCATATGAATACTGTTCCTACTACTACACAAGTGAAGCATTCAGAAATACATACCAAGAAACCATTTTTCCTGTAGGAAATCCAGCGGAATGGATAGTGCCAAATGATGTCTATGACATAATTGTAATTGCACCTAATCAAAAGCAAAGTTGTGAAAGGCCTACTAAGAAGAGTTTCATACTAGCGTATGAGGAAAATATAACCGTCAAATGCGGTCGGTGTGGTGAAAGTGGTCACAATCGTAGAACATGCAGCAGCTTAGTTCCGTTAAGTCAAAGCAACAAGAATAAAGAGAGGAAGAGGATGAAGACTGGAAATACACATTGATATATTTTTTATAATTCTCTTATTTTTCCATTCATTGATTTTTTATAAATGTAGGATGCACAACATTGGATGACACATATTGACCATATCATAACCAATACAATGCTAAGATTTTTTTGCAACGCACTTTGGATGTACGGCAGGAACGTGTGACCACTAGCACGTATGAGAAACTCAACGAATGTGTCACACATGAAAATCTATAGGAAAAATTGTTATACAATCGTCATGCAGTGAACTGTGATCAATATGAAATTAGCTGTGACCAATATGAAATGATCTGCGATCATTCTCCAATAACCTGTGACTAGTATGCAGTTACTGTGATCATTATTAATGACATGTGACCAGAATGCAGTGACTTGTGACCAATAAATGATCTGTAACTAGACATCAATGAACTGTGACCAATATGTAGTGACCTGTGACCATTTATCAAGACATGTGACTAGGATGAAGGGACATATGATCAATATCCAATGACGTGTGACAAATATGCTCTAAACTGTGACCAACAAAGGATGACTAGTGACCAATTGCAAAGACTTAGAAAAATGGGAGTAGCTTAGTTGCAATTAGTTGTGAGAAAAGTATGAAATGATCTGTGACCAATCTTCAATGACCTGTGACCAGATTGGATTGACTTGTGATAATTCTTCATGACCTGTGAATAGAACACAGTTACCTGTGACCAATATACAACAACCTGTGACCAGGATACAATGACTTGTGATAATGAGAGTTGACCTGTAATCAATTTACAATAACCAGTGACCTGTGAACTGCAGATAATCCTAAAAACTGGTGACCTGTGATAATCCTAAAAACTGTAGATAACTAGTGACCTGTGAACTGCAGGATACAGTGACCTGTGACCAATTTACAATAACCAGTCACCTGTGAGTTCTAGATAATCTGTGATCAGTCTTCAATGACCTATGACCAAATTAGATTGACTTGTGAAAATTCTTCATGACCTGTGAACAGAACACAGTTACCTGTGACCAATATACAACTACCTGTGACCAGGATACAGTGACCTGTGACAATGAGAATTGACCTGTGACCAATTCACAATAACTAGTGACCTGTGAACTGCAGATAATCCTAAAAATTGGAGTGGGTCAATTCCAGTGTTGGTCAATTGATAAACATGTCTACCACCCATGCTAATAACATGACACAATGGCAAAAATTTGTGCATTAAAATTTGAGACTTTGTCCTCGATACATCATCAATCTTGCAAAATATGATATACATTGAAACTTCTGAAAAATAATGTAATAAAGTCCCCAAATACTAATGAACTTTCTGATATAAACAGACAAAAGTAAGAACTGCGTTGTCATTACAAAGGAATATCCAAACACGAGACAATGTTTCCATCTATTACAACTTGTGACTGCTAATTGCACTATCACTCTAAAACAATGATTTCCCCACCAGTTGGCTGCACCGTCTTTCTAGCCTTCCCGATTTCACGATATTTGAACAACAACGAAGCTACATCCAACCGAGCTCTCCCCGCATCGAACTTCATGGGCATGGATCCGATATTCTCATGCAGCAAGTACTCCAAATACTTGACCATGTATAAGCCACAATCATGTCTAGGAACGCAAATATCAGTCTATTAGCTATGAAATCTAGCATGTTATAATGTGTTTAACTGTAAGTGGAGATAAAAAAACCTATCCATTTTTCTGTTAGGGAAGAGAGAAATCAAGATCCATATTCAACTCTATGGAATCTTTTTCCATATTCCAACACATTTCATGAGATGCGGAAGTATGCTAACAAAAGGTTCAATTCCAATACGGACTTTGATATCATTGTATGTCTTTCTGGAAGAATTCAATGAACGCAACGTATGTGCTTTTATGTCCAACACTCCAAGCATCCAATATGCTTTGTTGGTAGGCAGAAGTGGGATAAACAAAAGGTCAACTTCAACCCATGGAGTGCTGAATGGAATTCATGCACCGAAAATGTTGTCAATCAGTCTATCATCTGCCACAACAACTTTTGCATCATCTTTGAACCTAGGATACATGTGTTTGAGCTTGGCCTGAAACAACGAGTCTATTATGGTAGCTACGAACTTGAGATCTCTTGCACTTCTTGCCACTTGACGTATGTAGTAGAAGCACACGTCTATATGCTACAGAGATGCAAGTACAATAAACAATTAAGAAACCATATATACACCAGAAACATGATGCAATAAGCTGGTACTATGATGTGTGACTCGGTTAGAATGTGTGACCAATACAACCTGTAGTTAGTGACCAATCAATAACTGATCTATGACGTAATAAATACATGTGAGCTATATTATTATACCTACAAATATGTGTTTTTTCATGCAACGCGGATTGCGACTTACTGTTCGCGTGATTTGTGACCCATGCATCATCTGTGACCTACTGTTTGTGTGATCTGTGATGCATGCATCATCTGTGACCTACTGCTCGTGTGATTTGTGACCCATGCATCATTTGTGAGCTACTACATAAGTGGGTTGTTAGACAGTACAGACGTAACTTATGACTTTCACTGCATGACATGTACAACATTGCATTTGTGTGGACTTTGTGTGACTATTATACAATGACCTGTGACTAATGTGACTTATACTGTAACATGCCCTTTAAAACTGTTACTTTTGTGTAGTAACTTACCGAATTGGTCAACGATACCTCCCTGGATACAAGTTCATACCACCATGTCTTGTTTCCCACCAACTACTGACCGATGAATAAAGGTGGACGGATGGCATCATCTTTATCATTGAACTTCTTCCTGTGAACGAGAAGTACGGATCATTATTTGGAAAATTATGAAAATAGGACAACAATTTCGTGCTTGTTATGTGGTTTGTATCCTATTTGAAACCAATTTTGAAAGTCAACAACATCTATATCGTGTACATTCTGATTGTAGTGTTCGAAGATCACTACGTTTCCTGACGATTTCATTTGTTTCACTTCGTCGACAACATAAGGGGACTGAAGTGCTTTAGCTGGCTTTGGAGCCCTCTTCATCAACAATCCAGAACTTGGTACAGCCTCCGGTGAGTGCTGCCTAATAAAATGTATTTTTTAATATGTGACATGCATTAATCAACAAATACATAGATTTTTTGATATCTCTTACTCAATACATTTCGTGTCCTTCAAAACATTGGATATGACCGAGTCCACTTGCACTTCAACTTCCTTAGATGTTTTTGCAACAAACTGGCCTGGTTGTGTAAATCCAAGACCAAGATCAAAAGATGGAGGTTTAATAGAACATGGAAATTCAACTGTGCACGCAGAGTCAACCTTCGCTTTGCCTTTCGAATCAACACTTTTTTCGACTTTTACAGCCTAAAAATCAGAACAAAAATGCATTTGATGAGAAGTGTATGTCAAATGGTTTGTGGTAACAGACAAATAAGAGGCAGTCACAGTTGGGGTACTGACTTCGCTTGTTGGTCCAGATCCTCCAACAATTTATGGTCCTGTGTTCTCTCTGAATTTGATCATAATTTCTTCCATTGAACTAGATATCAGTGTAGTCACAGAATCAGACATACACTGCATGTGTGATTTGATGTCCAACATGTCGGTAAGGATTTCACCTTGCATGTGAATAAGCAGCTTCACTTTCTTTTGCCGATCAGACTTCAAAGATGACACCTGTGACTGCATTGCCTGAAGCTATTTGCTTAGCAACCGATTCTCAGACTGGAGATCAGATATCTATCCTTTGAAATAATTCCTCAATTCGTCGACCACCTGCATCACATGAATACCTATAATCAGGTAACTTATGATGATGAAATATAACATTGATCTGTGATCAGCATTGAAACGTGTATTGATATGTGACCTAATAACTGAAACTTGTGACCTTAGAATTTTTATGTGACCTGAATATCATTAACACTAAATGGACTTGTGACATGATAGATGAAATTGGAAGAGCTTAAATCTTTTGACATCATATCCTCTGAATCAGTAGTGTCATCAGACTTACGCTCCCCACTTGGAGAATCTTCATGGATTGATATCTCCTTCCAACTGGGTGGTGGGTCAACAAAGTCATCATCATCAATGGGGAGATCAGAGTGTCCCAGTCGTCCATCAGTTATCATAAGCATGGAAGTAGATTGTTTCATTCCCGAATTACTTGGTTTTGTACTAGTCCCAGGACGATAAACTCATCGATCTATGCTACCACCCTTTCTCTTCTCCCCATGTAACCGAACGGGGTGGGACAGGTTTCTCATACCGCACCTCTGTCATGTATGGCATTGCCGTTTCAGCTGGTGGGGGGTCCAGGTCACATATTTCCAACTGCAAGTCATATCACAACAAAAAGTGCAATGTCAGCAACCAAAAATTATGTATGAACGAACATATATAATTTTACATATCACACATATTCAATATGTTTCCATGGTTGTGATAAAATAAGTGCAAATGGCGCCGTGAAAATGTCTGTGACCTATATTGAAAATGTATGACATAATGAATAAAATCTATGACTTCGTGAATGCAATTTGTGACTTGACGAAATATATTTATGACCTAAGAAATATGATCTGGAACATGAAAAAAATGTGCAAGTTTAATATTCCGAAACCAGTAATGCTGCATCAGTGGTTACTTACGTCCGGATTGGAGAAGCATTTAGGCCCCTTGAGCTTCGCAGCTGAAGGGTGATCATCAGCCTCCCAGTTCATTATCCGGGGGTACACTCTAGAAATCCTTCTCACTGTGTATCCATCGAGACTGGGAATTGTCTCATAAATCCACACTTGAAAGGCTATGAGCAAGCCTCTGAGTCTGTAATGTGTTGATCTCTTACTCAACCCCTCTCTCAATGAATTTACTAGTGTGTCAAACAGCGACTTACCCCATGGAAACACATTTATCGCACTAAAATCTTCAACTAGTATGAATAAGAAGTGATCCACAGCCTTCTTGTAGTCTCTCGGATGTAGATAAGA